ATCTCAAAGAAACTCCTGCAGAATACCTTTATGCCCTCATTTTTCCTAAACATGTGATCTATGAGATCATTTCCTACCTTTAAAATATGAGCCAATATTTTGGGATACCTTGACTTTATTTCTTCACATATATTCTATCTGGATGCTAGAGATACATACCTACCAGAATCGATACTTTTCTATAGTTGGCATCAAATCAACTTCATTAAAATGAAACAATGATAATAAGGGTCCTAAAATTATACCATCACCTTAGTGATTGAGTTTTCAACTTTTAGTGAAAAGAGATATGCAACATGCCTAAACTTTTGATAAAAAGCTTACTACCTAAAAGGATCCATGTTATTTCATATATCTAATAGGTATTTTAGGTAATTTTGTTTAAGAAGCAATCGAACTTCTTTCGGTAAAGTAGAGACATAACCAGGTGGTAAACAATCCATTTTTTCTTGCTATCTCCTTTCTAACTATATCTTTACATCCATAAGTGAATCATATTTAAAGAATATAAACGAGGCGTAAACTTGACGTTCTATGGGTTTCATAAGAGCTTTTGTTGAAAATATCTTTAGGGCAGGAATAATATGCAATCTGTATGTATGTTTATGAATATACACAAGAAGGAAAACAAACAAGAAAATTGGTTAGTCACTTTAATATAAAATAAAGAATAAACACTGTAAAGCAAATAAAATAACAACATGACTTTAAATTTTGGATTAACTATAAAGAGCAAAGGGACATGGCTCTACCTATAGGTTAAGCTCTTAAGGTTAACTATATGTAGCTTGGATTTTAAAAGGTTCTCAAATTGTTCCTAATATCATTGTCCATTACAGACTAGTAAGGCACCCCAATCCTTGTTCATTATAGGTTATAAGCTAAAAAAGTTCAATATGAGTGAGAGTATTTCGTTAGTCCATGTAAAGATATGAAATCTCATGAAGGCATAAGTACTTTACTTCCTCTTAAGAGATAGAACTAGGGTGTAGAGCTCATGTTATGCATATGCAAATGAATGACATAAATATGAAATGAATAACTAAATAGCTAAATAAAATGTAAACAAGGAAAAAGAAAGAAGAAAAAATCTCAAATTTATTAGGCTAGGCTTGGATAACAAGAAATCATTTGCTGGCCTGACTCTGGACATCCTCAGTGGAGTCATCAAACTATCATAACATATAGAGCCGTAGACCTACTACTAAACATGGATTAAAGGAGTTGCCACTAATCTTTTTTGTTTAGGTATGATTGGTCACCTAATCGAATCTGTGCTATTTAAAAAGGAATCTCAAAATTGACTTAGGTATCTTTAAATAGTAAATTTTAGTTAACGAAATCAGATTTTAGATTTGGGAGCATGGTTATATATGAGAAAGGTTATAGCATCCTCACAGCACCCATCTAAAAAATGATACCAGTTTGATTTCAAATTATCCAAGCCTTAACCATATTTATGATTTACCAAAATATTTAATATTAAAAATTAATCTTAAAATTACTCTAATAGTTTGGTAGCAATTTAAAATAATTCTCTCATCTCATGTATATTCATAGAGATTAGGGTCACACCCTCAAGAGGCTCCATTGTTAGATTCATTTAAATTTTAGTTAAAAAAATTAATAAAATCTTTCAATAATTTGGTAAGATTTACTTTGATGCTGATTTTCAAATAGTTTGGTGATATTTTATTATAAAATTATTTTTTAAAAAATATATTAAATCTTTCAATAGTTTGGTAAGATGTAAGATGCAAATCCTTCAATAATTTGATAAGATAAAGTACAAAAGATTTTAATAATAATTTTTTTGGTACAATTAACTTATGAAATTCTTCAATAGTTTGATAAAATTCATAAAAATTTAAATTCATGAAGAAATCTTTAATAGTTTGGTAGAATTCATGAATTCATTTTTAGAAACATTTATATATATATTTTAGTTTTTAGTCTTTTTTTTTTAATTTACGAAAGTATTTAAAATAAATCATTTAATTTAAAAATAAGTAGAATAAAAAAATCTAAAAAATAAAACAAGTAAAATGAAATAGAAAATAAATAAGAAAATATATAAAAATAAAATAAATAAAAATGCAATTGAAAAATAAAATGAAAAAAAAAAAAAACCTGTGATCGAGTCGAGTCCAGAACGGGTCACGCATGGCTCCTCACAGATTAGGATGCAGGTTCTACTAAATAAAACGGTGTTGTTTGGCATTAGTATAACAATCAAGGTTTTCATATTTTTTTCAAAATCTTTTAGCCCTTGCTTTTTTTAGAATTTTTTGCTCTGCCTTCTCTCTCAAAACCCTGGACTAAGCAATTGAAAATTGGGTTTGATTATCGATTTCTGAAAATTGACTAGAATTCAACTAAAAACTTCAAAGTTCATTGAAAAATTTAACTAAAAAATTCAAACTTTAAACCCAAAACCCATATTTTTTCAGAATTTTTTAGATTTTTCCAGAAATTTCTCAAAATTTTCCATAAAATTCCCTTCTTTCAAATTTATCAAAGATTCCTAACAATTTTGTTTTTTCAAACTCAAAACCCAAATGCTAACTAACCTAAAACAAAATCCACCAAACAGTATCAACCCAGAACCCAGACTATCATCCATTTTTCTTTGTTCCTCTATGTAATTTTCGCACTCAATTTATAACTTGTTCTAGTAGAAATTTTTAAGTGAGTTTAAATAAGGTTAATCCAAGCTTAAATCTTGAGATCTTATCACAATTGATTAGTCTCAAATCCCTTTCTACCTAATTTTCGCTCAAAATTCCTAAACAGCCAATTTATTCCTTTCCTTTTTCAATTCTGTCAATGTCAACTCATGAATAAAATAAAAAATGAAAAGAAAAATGGAAATTAAATTAGAAGTAAATAATAATAATAATAGTAAATACAATGTGGGTTGGGCCTAAACCTACATATGATCAACAAATACTGGGCTCAAAGCCCAAACGAAATAAGCCAGAAACCTAAATACGAAACTCTTTCGAGATCTAATTATCTGAAAGAGATCCAAATTGACAAATCAATCGTATCCCAGACGAAAATGAGTGTCTACATATATATTAGGTAAAATATATAAATGGTCACTTAACTTTAAAAGTCTTTTTAAAATAATCACTTAAGTATTAATTTTTTCAATTTAGTTACTTAAGTTTGAATTCGTTAAATTTTGGGTCACTCAACTATTAATGACTAACAGTGTGCTGATGTGGCACTACCACATTAGTTTCAGGTGCCACATGGCACTGCCACCTCATTTGACAAGCCACATAACATTGCTAATGTGGCATTATAAAACTTTAAAAAATAAATAAATTTTAATCACTTAAGTTTGAATCCGTTAAATTTTGGGTCACTCAACCGTTAATGACTAACAGTATGCTGACGTGGCACTAGCACATTAGTTTCAGGTGCCACATGGCACCGCCACCTCATTTGACAAGCCACATGACATTGTTATTGTGGCATTATAAAACTTTAAAAATAAATAAATTTTAGTCACTTAATTTTTCAAGAATTTCTATTCTAGTCAATCAACTTTAAAAATTACAAATAAGTATTCAAATTTTATAAAAAAAATAGAAATAAATATTTGATATTTTTATCACATAGAATTAAATTATAAAATTTTAATTTTATTTTAATTATACCATTTAAATTTGAAAAATGAAATAATATTATCCACTTGTAAATATTACTAAAAAAATGTTATTTCACATTTTTGTCATTTAATTCATCTAAATAAACTCAATTAAGTATTTCATATTTCATAATGTTCAGATTTAATTTTGATTTCATGTAATAAAATATTAAAGGAAATATAGATAAAAAATAAATAAAAATAATTTATTATATCAAATTTTACAAACCATTAGTGATTAAATCGTTATAAAGTTACGTTGTGGATAACTTCTAAATATTAATAATTTCACATACAATGGTGACCAAAATGTAAAAATTTAAAATAGTTACTTAAATTTATTTAGATTAACTAAATGATAAATATTTGAAATAATAATATTTGGTAAATTCAAAAATTGATTAATATTCTTATTTTTTAAAAAATTTAAATGGTATAATTATAGTAAAATAACAATAGAAATATTAAAATTTTTATTTTTATTTTTGTTTTTTTATAAAATTCAATGACTTATTTAAAAATTAGATTAAGTCATAATTTCATACATTTTTACATTAGATATACCCTAACCCTATCCAAAAACCCTAACCTAACCAAAACCTAGTAAGAAAATCCTAACTCTAAACTAAAATCGAAACTTTAATCTACCTAAACTCTAACTTTAAACCACTTATATCCTAACCTTAAACCACTTAAACCCTAACACTTGAATCTTATCTTAATATATTTCAATAGGTAACACAAATAATAAAATAATTTATTATATTAAATTACATAAACGATAGTGATCAACTTATTATAAATTCATGTTGACAATGAAAATTAAAATATTAATAATTTCATATTTCATAATTTCAAAACTTTTTTGGCTACTCAATCATTAACTTTTTTAATTATGGTATTGGATAATATTCATCCATTTTTCAAATTTAAATAATATAATTACAATAAAATAAAAATATATAATTTAATTCCATAAAATAAAATATTAATACTTATTTTTATTTTTTTATAAAAATTGAGAACTTATTTGTTATTGACTAAATTATAAATTTTTAAAATTGAGTAAATAAAATATAAATTTCTTAAAAGTTAACTAACTAAAATTTGTTTTTTTTTCTAAGTTTTATAATACCACGTAACTTGTTAGATGAGGTAGTAATACCACATGACACCTGAAATTGAAGTGGTAGTGTCACGTCAGTACGCTGTTAGTCATTATTGACTCACTGACGAAAAAGAAATGGACTCAAACTTAAATGGTTAAATTAAAAAAATTAACATTTAAGGGATCATTTTAAAAAGATCTCTAAAGTTGAGTGACCATTTGTTTATTTTACCCATATATATTAGATTACGTAAAAAAATTGGGTCAAATTAAACAAATTACAAAAACAAGAACAAAATCGAGCCCGTAATTTCCCTCCAGTAGAGGAAATCAAATACCGCCTTGCTAACTTGAGTCGGTAGCGTAATCAGTGAACCAAGATGCTGTTTGCTAACGGGAGAAATGTTCCACAGAAATCGATTTTCAATCTGTAAACTTTACCGACTCATTACACCACTCGAATGTATTCATACAAGCTCCCAACACATTCCACAACCTTCGCAATTTTCAACATGCCAACTTGCTTCATTCTGGCAATCTTCTTCTTTCCCTTCAAATCTTCAACATGGCAAACAATTTCACGCCCAGCTCATCCTCAATGGAATTACTACCGCCAATCCCCTTCTTCTGGCTATGTATCTTCGTTGCGGTAGCTTTGACGATGCCAAGAACCTGTTTTATCAGATTGATTTAGGATGTGTAAAGCGTTGGAATTTGATGATCAGAGGGTTTGTTAAAATGGGTTGGTTTCATTTTGCCATGTTGTTTTATTTTAAGATGCTGGGTTGTGGGGTTTCTCCTGATAATTTTACTTTCCCTTCTGTAGTCAAGGCTTGTAGTGCTTTGAATAATGTAAGATTTGGTGCTTTGATTCATGAGGTGATTATGTTGATGGGTTTTGAACTGAATGTGTTTATCGCTAGTTCTTTGATCAACTTGTATGTAGAGAACCGTTATATTAATCGCGCTCGTACTTTGTTTGATAAAATGCCAGTGAGAGATTGTGTTTTGTGGAATGTGATGCTTAATGGATATCTTAAATGTGGGGAATTAGATAAAGTTATAGAGATTTTTGAGGAAATGAGGAAAGGTGAATCAAAGCCAAATGAGGTGACATTTGCTGCTATTTGCTCTGTGTGTGCTTCGGAAGGAATGGTGGATTTTGGTACTCAGCTTCATGGCCTTGTTGTTAGTTGTGGGTTGGAATCAAATTCTATGGTGGCAAACACGCTTTTGTCCATGTATTCAAAATGTGGGTGGTTGTCTGATGCTCATAAATTGTTTGATACGATCCCTAATACTGATTTAGTGTCTTGGAATGGAATGATTTCGGGATATGTACAGAATGGGTTTATGGAAGATGCTTCATGTTTGTTTAAGGAGATGATATCTTCTGGTGTGAAACCTGACTCGATCACCTTCTCAAGTTTTCTTCCCGCTGTTACTGGGTTGGGAAGTTTCAGAAAAGGTAAGGAAATCCATGGATATATATTAAGACATGGTCTGCCTTTCGATGTGTTCTTGAAGAGTGCACTTATTGATGTATACTTAAAGTGCAGGGATGTGGAGATGGCGCGCAATGTTTATAACCAAAGCACCAAGGTTGATGTTGTCATTTGCACAGCTATGATTTCAGGATATGTGCTTAATGGGATGAACAATGATGCTTTAGAGATTTTCAGGTGGCTACTTCAAGAGAAAATCAGGCCGAATGCTGTAACGCTGGCAAGTGTTCTACCTGCTTGTGCAGATTTAGCTGCATTAAAAGTAGGGAAGGAATTGCATGGTAATATCATAAAGAACGGGCTTGCTGATAGGTGTCATGTGGGAAGTGCTATCATAGACATGTATGCAAAGTGCGGAAGACTGGATCTCGCTCATCATGTTTTTGGAAGATTGTCCGAAAGAGACTCTGTTTGTTGGAACTCAATGATCACAAGCTGTTCCCAGAATGGGAAGCCAGAGGAGGCCATTGATCTTTTTCGTTGGATGGGGAGGACTGGAACCAAGTATGACTGTGTGAGTGTATCAGCTGCTCTTTCTGCTTGTGCCAATCTACCTGCACTGCATTATGGAAAAGAGATCCATGGGTTTATGATAAAAGGTTCTCTCTGCTTTGATCTTTTTGCTAGGAGCGCACTCATAGATATGTATGCAAAATGTGGAAACTTGAGTTTTGCTCAGTGTGTATTTGACATGATGGAAGATAAGAATGAAGTTTCATGGAATAGTATCATTGCTGCTTATGGAAACCATGGCCACCTTAAAGATTGTCTTGCCCTGTTCCATGAGATGTTGAAAAATAAAATTCAGCCTGATCATGTCACCTTCCTAGCTATAATATCTGCTTGTGGTCATGCTGGTAAAGTTAATGATGGAATTCACTACTTCCAGAGCATGACTGAGGAATATGGAATCCCAGCTAGGATGGAACATTATGCTTGTATGGTAGATTTGTTTGGACGTGCCGGTCGCTTGAATGAAGCTTTTAAAATTATAAAGAGCATGCCATTCCCTCCTGATGCTGGTGTGTGGGGTACATTGCTTGGAGCCTGTCGAAACCATGGAAATGTTGAGCTTGCTGAAGTGGCTTCAAGACATCTTTTTGATTTGGACCCACAAAATTCTGGTTACTATGTACTGCTTTCAAATTTACATGCAAATGCTGGACATTGGGGGAGTGTGCTGAAGGTACGAAGTCTGATGAAGGAAAGAGGAGTTCAGAAAGTACCTGGATACAGTTGGATAGAGGTCAACAACACCACCCACATGTTTGCTGCTGCAGATGGGAGTCACCCACATTCTAAGCATATATATTCATTGCTGAAGATTCTTCTTCTAGAGCTGAAAAGAGAAGGATATGTTACTAATCTTTATCTTCCAATGCACCCACAGGGTTTAGTGTCATGACTGTCATTTCCACCTTTGTGCTGTCAGCCGGATAACAGATAAAATCTTGCCTGTGAGCCATGGACTGCAACAGAGCATCAGAAATGTAAGTTCTTGCAATATGCTTAAATAACTTTTTTTTCTATTAATGGATGGAGAGCTCAAAGACAATGTGTGTGATAACATTAAGCATGTGAGAAAGTAAGAGGTCAATCTGTTGTGTCTAGAAGAATGTTAGGTAAAATGAAAGCATCTTGGTATGCAGGCAAAGATTGGAACATCATTGACATAAACTAATGATTTGGAGGATCAGGAAAAAGCAAGACCTGTAGTCTAGAAAAAAATAAAATAAAATACAGAGTGTTGATGATAGTAAATGAAGAAAAAAGTTCCTGAATTTGTACTTAGAAGAGGTATTTATAAAAGTTACGGGTTAAGCTGGCGGCAATGTGATTCCTGCTTGAAGTGATTTATTTAACTTGTTAAACATAAGTATTGAATTACTGGTAACCACCAGAAATTGTCCACATGTTGTTGGAGCAAATAGGTGAAGATGGAGCATCCTGAAAAACTCTTTTAGAAAGCTGAGATCTCCTTAATGAACATTGACCCCTGCCAGAAATTTTAATTCCCATATAACCCCTTCTTACAGGAAAGTGCTGATACATGTGCCATCTCATTTTCAGCGCAGTGCTGCTGATTGTTCAGATTTTCTCATAACTCTATTTTATACTTCTATTAGATGAGGATTGAATTTCCATTGTACTTTCTAATTTGGGCTTCCAGGCAGTCTTCTATATCCTAGCATATCCGTTTTCCTTGTGTTACTGTCATGTGGGTTGTTGCAAATAACTTGCAATGCTAGGCATCAAGTGAACAAGGTTTATGGACCAAAACTTCTTACATGGATTTACTTTTGCCAATTTTAGTTCAGAGTCTGAACTTTAGCTCTGTACTATCTCAATTCTGCAGTTTTGGTCCCTGTAGTGTACTTTAATTTTAATGAATTTAATCCCAATACTTTTATAAAAGGTTGATTTAAGGACATTTGGTAACATTTTTAAACATTTTCAAGTAAATTTGACTGACTCTTATGTTGATGACATGACATGCTAACTTGAACTTTTTTTCCAAAAAATCTAAAATTGTTGTTTGTAATTCTTAAAAATATTAATTATTTATTTAATTAAGATAATATTTTTTTTTTTTTTACTAATATGGGTCGTGTAGCAAAATATTAATCCACCTTAGCTTGTCAAGTAATCACCAAAATGCCATTTTATTCAAATTAAAGGCAATATCTTAACATAGTAAAAGTATAGAGACTAAATTCATTAAAATTGAAGTAAAGGGGCTAAAAAAGCATAATTGAGATCGTAATGGGACCTAATTCAAACTTCAACCTTATTTTTATTATTTATTTCAACTTTCAAGTTGTTCTTATTAGGATAAGTCTGGTTATTTTAAGATTACCATGTTGTGTAGTGGGAAGAGGGAATGATTGACATATAGTTGAAATCAGAATCTAAGCGGATTTAGGTCTATAAATTTGATTCCAATGCAACTTGTAACTGTTGATCTTAACGTAATACTTCTCAATGAAGACAAGTGACTTCTGTTAACTTGGGAAACGTGTTATATATACATGGAGATATGATTGTAATCATATAGTATTTAAATGCTTGTTTGCAATTTATGCATTAGATCAACATCTTTTAGTCTCATGAATTGATTTTTTAAAATTTTTTGCTTAAATTTCAAATTTTCTTTGTGATCTTTCTGAATTTGTCATTCTAGGGAATCAGCATTGTAAAGAGGTGACAACTAATAATTTACAAACTGTCTAATATACAAAATGTGCTGCTTTTTATTGAATCTCAGGAGTTGCCGAAACCATTTCTGATCATGTCCTCTCCTCTGCCTTAGCCCATTCCTCCTGAGTAGCTCACTTATTTGGTGTTTCAGGCACAGGTAACCCTGCAAGGCTGCTGAAAAGGCTAAGGCTAGGTAAGACATCTTATTTGAAATTTGTAGCTCATTCAATGGTCTAATGCATCTAATGTTGTTAATTGATATAGACAGGCACTGGCCTAGCTAGATAAGAGTTGATTTCACCTACAATTAGTTGTTTAGAATTATAAAATCTCAACCATTCATGAGTATGGAGTCCACACGAGTTCCACATAAATCCCAAGTGTATCTTCAGAAAGTCATGGTTGGGATTGAATAAAGTTAGGATTGTAAGTGAATATAGTTGGAGGCTATATAGATATAACATCTTAGCAAAATAAAACAAAAAGATAAAAATACTGTATAATTATACAAAAATAAAGTTTGAAAAACATAAATTTTGTTATTTGGTTTCCTTATTATATGATTGGCATGATAATATTATTTATATATCATACTTATTAAATGTTTTTAAGCTTGTTTCATAATAAACAATCACTAGATTTTCACTTGAGGCAAGTAGATTTTCTTTAGCGATACAAATGCAAATAGTTTTTTGATCATCTGTCTAGAACTTGACCCACGTACCATCACACTTTGTCTATAAATTCTACCATCACGGCATATTCCTTGGAGAATTTTGGTACATCCATATGACATATTTCATCTTGCTTACCTTTTGATGCAGATGTGTGTGTATATAGAGACATACATATATGGTGTCGATATAAAGTAATCCAAATACCACCAAGCTTTGTTACCTAAAGTGATGACTACTAACCCTGTTTCATGCACATTATCATTTCAAAATTATAATAGCTTCCTGCCCTTTAATACTTTACTGATTGAAATCATAGATCAATATGCCTATTGTCTAACAATTTCTAGCAATGTTCTAGGCAATACAAGCAATATATAGAAGGGGGTATGTATGCAGACCTGAAAGAAAGACATGTTTAAAGGCAGTAAATACGTCCTTCTTGCATTATTGGTCGAATTAGAGCGTTAATGTGGAATAAGGAATTGGCGGGCCGAACTTTTCCTTACTGCTAATAGATATTCATGCCTGGAATCAGATGCCAGGTAGATATGAATTTAGGTTTACTGTTAGGTTGAACAGTTGAAAGCTGCACAGTTACCATATGTAATTAATAATTTGCTTAAAGGCCAGGCATAAAACTCTGCTTCGCTACAGGAACAAATAGTTGAATCATTGATTGAATCATTGATTGGTGCAGGGTCATTTTCTTGATAAAGTAACATTTGCTATAGTCATGGACACGAGTATTGACAACTAATTTTTCACACATGCATGGATGACATGCATATGGAATGTTGGTTTTGTAAAGTAGACATTGGTGTTGAGAGTAATACATACATACATATATATATATATATGTATATTGAATTTTTAATTTACATTTAAATCTTTTTACTTTATTATATATTTAGTTAAAAAAGATATTATGGGTTTAAATTTTTTTGAATTCATAATTCTTAAGTATCGATTTTAATAATATTTTAATTTTCATTGATATATTTTAAAAAATGAAACTATCCGATTGATGATGTGGATTTTTTTTCTACCGAGTCCAAGTATCATTGTATTTCTTTTATTTTTTTATAATTTTTAAAGATAAAATAGTAGTAATAACAATCAAATGAAGGCTAAAAAACAAGAAATAAAAAGAAAAAGAGGTTAAGAGTGGAATGTAATGTTTACCACTAATTTGGTAATGATGACAATTTCTGAAAGATAAATTGGGTGAAAAAAATATGTGACCACATAAAGAAGGATCTTTGTCCACCGCTACTTTAATTAAAGATAGGACATGTCTAAAAGAAGTCTGTCTTCCAACCCATAATAATATTAATACAATATTATATGTTTGTGGATGTAAAATGATGTTTTTAAATTACAATAAGTGACTGACATCACTGGGATATTGGAATAAAGTTATATCTCATCTTAAATTCACCTTTATTTTTTTCTCTAGCTTTTCCATGCCAATCAACATCAACATGAAGAAATTCCCGAAGAGGATATATCATTTGCCATAGTAAACAAATTCGTCGGTAAAGAAATTCGTTTTTGAAGCTAAATATAAAATTACTTGTGGTGGTGCCCCTCTTTGAAAGACATGAAAAACGTCGGAAAAACAGTTGCACTATTCTTGGAGATGGTTAGGTGAAAGTAGGCTTGGAAATTGGAGAGAAAGTTGAAGAAATATATAGAGAGTTAGAAAATTTCATCATAGATTTTATTTCCTAACAGTAATCTAATAATTAATCTAATGGATTTCCGCTTTTTGGTTTATGTACTCAATGGCTTCTATTTTTTTTTTCTTTGTTTCCCTATACGTACTTCCTTTAGTCTTTTTTCATGAAACAAAAAGAGGTTGATTTTGCATAAAATTTTTCAAAACCAAAACATAGAGATTTCTTGGCCAAAAAAAAAAAAGATTTAGTGAAAAATATTTTTAACAAAAAAAAATGGAGCAAAGGAAGAAAATTAGGTAAATTTCTTGGTTTCTAATTTTTAGAATATGGATGTATTTTCACTTATATACATATTTAACTCCTAATTAGGATCCTTTCAAAAAAAAAAAATCCTAATTAGAATATGCATATATACTTCTAAAAAGGTCAAATTAATATTATAGTTTTTGTACTTTATCAAAATTTTAAATTTAATTTCTCTAATATGAAACATAAAAATGTAGTTCCATGCTATTTTGATTTGATATGAAAATGTCTGATTTCAATGTGTCATGCAGAGAAAAACAAGATTTTCATCTTGTAGTGAGAAACTGCAACAATAAGATTATTGCATTGTACATAAAGCAGTTGTTCTGCTTTTCAAGATATGGTTGCCAACTTTTTAAATTTTAACTGTTTGTCTAATAGTTATATTTTTTGGGTTAATATTTGATGTATTAATAGTTTATAAATTTTATATATGGTTATTAAACCATAGATTAACATGATATTAATGAATAAATTTAAAAAATTAAAAGTCTTAAAACGTAAATAAAAAATTGAATTCAATTTATTTTGAAGTTTTCTAAAATTCTAAATTTACTCATTAATGATATGGTAATATGTGATTTATTGGTAATTCATAGACTTTATACATTATTTATGCATTAAATATAAACTAACAAATAATAGCAGATTTTGACATTTGACTTTAAGGGTCCTATTAGTATTATATTTTAACATTTTTTCATACAACATATTTTATGATCCTTATTAATATACAAAAATATATAACTATGTAAAAATATATTAATAAAAATAACAAGTTTATAAAATTATAAAGGAAAAAATATTGCTATGATAACATTAAACGATAAAGAATAATATAAATTTTAAATTAATGGTAATATTATTAATTATACAATCTTTAAATAAGCATTTGATATTTCTTGATTCTTTTGATAGTTTAAAATTGAAATAAAAAATAACAAATCAATATTTTTATAAGCACTGATAGTTAAAAAAATATATTTTTTATCCAAACAATAAAAATATACATTTTTTAAGAAAAGTGAAGATAAAAATTTTGAGATAAAAATCCATGGTATTTTCTAACTTTTTCAAATGATTCTAATATGAATTTTTCTATTGAAAAAATATTATAAAAAAATAAAATAAAGATCTAGAATAACTAAAAATAAAATATAATACTCAAAGAAAATTTGTAATTAACTAAAAAAAAATGAAAAAATAACATCGTGGGACTTACTAATTGAGTATAGGATTTCTAATTTTAATCAATAAAATTCAATTTTTGACAAAAAAATATATATGTTTAACATTTGATTGAAACTTACTATAATTGATAAAGCTAAAAAGTTAATTTGGACAAAATAGCATCTATTATTAGTTAAATTGAAATTTGACAAATACTAACCTAATGTAAAAATATTATAAAACTCAACAATTATTAAACAAAGTTAACTTTATACTATGTCTATGACTTTATATTTAAGGAGTTAAATACAAAAATATGGGAAAAAAGGTAGTAGTTATTGTTACTATTGAAAATTAAGGATCTTACTAGCTTAAACTTATGCATTAATATTCACCAAAGAAATTAATTAGCTCTCAATATGCAAATGCAATGCATATCATAAACTGATTAAAACTTTTTAACATAAAATTTTAAGATCACATCAAATTGAAACTAACAGTACCTGGCAAGCAAAGGCAAAGCAGCTAAATTTCTGTTTACACAAAACTAGAAATTCAATAATAAAATAGGCTGCTTTCATTAGTTACACTGAAAAGCTCCAAATTACTGCATGCACTTATACTACTAAATTACTACAGTACTACATATCCTCCATTTTCTCCTGAAGCTGATCTTGCTACTTGAGCACTGACATTGTTTCCTACACCATATATAGCCCCCCTTGACTCAACCTGAACCTGAACCTGAACCTGAGCCACCTTGCTGATCAAAATGGTTGCCATCAGTGGCTGTTAAGTGTTGCGGCAGCTGCTGTGGTTTCTTTCTCTTCTTCTTCTCATAAACTATGCCTCTAGCCTTAGCTTGAGTGTCCCTTACTTCCCTTAGGTACAGCCTCACGGCACGCGCACCAAACGGGTTCATCTCTGATTGCCCACCGTTCTCCTCAAAGGCTGCACGGAGGCGGCCTATGAGTGCATCCAAGCTGCCCCAGGCTTGCTTCAGAGGGCAAGGACAAGGCGCTGGTGGGTGAGAGTGTCCAAAGAAGGCACAGTTTTGGGTGTGTACTTTGGTTTTCCCAAACTGATCCAGGTATTTCAGGAATTCAAGGACGTGTGCACCACTGCAGCGTGAGAGAGCCAAGGGGGGACGATGGTTCTTCAGATACTGCCCAAACGTGTTCCAGTCACGTCGCTTCTGAGATTCATAGCGGCTTAAAGCTGGGAGCGACGATAATGGCTGGGGTGGTGGTAGCGTGAGTGACACTGAACGATCACTTTGATGATGAGAACTGCTATTCGAGGACACGCATGCGGCAGCAGCTGCAGCGGCAACAGCGGCTGACATATTAAAGTAATTAATTTGCCTACTTCAAACTGATCAAATTCACGTTGGATGATTTGACGAGCAGAAAAACAAGGGAACTTGGAACAGTTGCAAATAATATAGTGATGTATGTATGAGAGAGGATTGGGAAGTAGTAGTAATAAGAGAGCAGAAATGGTAAAGCTTTGTAGGTTTTCAAATCCAAAGCTTGATTTATGGAACAAATTAATTACTCCAAATGAATAGCAAAGAGAGAAAGGGAGTACATAACATCCATGAGAATGAGAATATATATAATTATTTATGAAGAAATGAAAGTGTTTTTTTTTTATTAATAAAATCTAAGAATAAATAAATTTTTATATACGAAAATTTAAAAATAGTAATTAAAAGTAATATATTTGATATAATCTTTATAAAAAATTATTAACTATGCTCGAATCCAAGTACATCGAAATAAATGATCCCTATCAGATAAGCAAAACCCTTGATGGTGAATGAAAGTAGGGTTATGCTTCAGTCTTTGTATATGAACGAAGGAATGAAAAAGGTAAGAGAGAGAGAGAAAGGTCGTGGAGACAGGAGCGGGCCCTTGCAAAGAAAACCACGTATGGTCAGATCAGTGATAGATAGTTTGAATATATCATTTCAAAAAACGTCTTCTCAATCAATACTTTGATACATATTTTATTTTTTTTTTAATTTTAGATTTAATTATTCATATATTTATATTATATTTTATATAAAAATTATATATTATAATTTATATAAATATATAAATATAATTTTTTTTATTTTATTAAATACATATAATTATTATTATAATTTTAAATTTTATTTTTATATTATATTCTAATAACATCTTTATATCATATTTTAAGTTACTACGTCTTCTTAATCTTACAATTTTTCTATTTATTACTTGATTTTCACTATTATTCTTTTTCTAGTATAATGGCAAGGCTAGGAGTCTAAAAGAGTAATATTATTCCTTTTTTTATTTTCCAACCTTTGCCTACCCACTTTTTATTTTAATCTTTACTTCACCCCCTCCAATTTCTCAAAATATTTATTTCACTTTTATAAATTTTTTACAATTTTCTTTTAATCCTAGTATATATCTTTTTTATTTAATTTATGCTATTTTTTTGGATAGGCTTTTAGTTAATTCTATGATCAAAGCTGAAACACTATTGAAGTGATCTTTGTTTGTTTTGATTTGGTATCTCAATATTATGAATGACTAAATGAACAAGAAACAGAGATAAAGATTAAAGAAAAAAGAAGCCATTCATCATTCTCTCTCACTAAGCCTTTTTTTTTTTTATTTTGTTATAAACATTTTGTTGACATGCATTAGAAAGAAATTAAGTAAAAAAATCTAGAATTATCCATTAATTGAATACTAAATAGTGCTCTTCTTATTAATTAAATCAGTTCTCTTGGGAGTTTGATACTCTTTTCATCTCCAATTGTTTTTTTTTTCCTTTGGTTTTTACTAAGATAAAAAAAAAAAAAAGATTCAAAAGAAATTTTGATATAAAAATGGCATTTCATGATTTTTATACAAAAAATCATTAAAATAATTTTTAATATAAAATATGGAAATTTTAAATTAAAAAATATATAATTTTAAGATATTTCAAAATAAAAATAAAGCGATAAAAAAAACACTAGAGAATATTGGCTTGGAAATGTTAAAAAGAAAAAGAAAATTAATTAAGGGGGGCAATAATTGGGAGGTATGGCCTAAGGTAAAGTAGGATTAATAACTGATTGAATTTAATTTTATTTTTTTGGATAACATAAAAAATTTTAAAATTTAAATTGAATTCAAATTGAATTTTTATATGATTCGATCTAAAATGAATTATTGGTTCGATTTAGTTTATTAATTTTTTAAATTTAAATTTAAATTTTTTATATATTTAAATAAATTTAACTATAATATAATAATTTTTATTTTTAAAAAATTTAATAAATATATAAATTAATAAAAATATATAATTTGCTTACATTTAATTTTTTTATTATTTAATTTTTTGATCTTAAATTTAATTTGTATTTGATATATATAATATTTAAATTTAATCTCAATTAAATTAAATATTGTAATTTTAAATTAATTTTTTATTTTTTTTTAAAAAAAATTTCAGTCAAAAGTAGGGCTAAGTGAGAGGTGAAATCAAAGGACAGGAAAGGAATGGGACGAAAGCAGAAAGAAAGTGATGGTTGAAATAATTGGGAGGTATGTCCTAAGGTTAAGTAGGGTTAATAACGTATAAGATTTGATTTAGTTTAATTTTTTTAAATAATGTATAAAATTATAAATATTATTAATATTTATTAATTCAAATGATAAAAAATTTAATTTTTTAAAAATAAAATTTCAATTCTGAATCTTGTAAATAAAAAAAATAAACATTTGATCCGATTTAATTTTAAATTAATCAAAATTTAAAATGATTATATAACATCAAAAATCTCAAATAAAAATAATTATAAATATTTAAAATTTGAATAAAAATTAAAATTTAATTTTCATTTGATCTGAATTCAACTATTCGATTTAATTTTGTTTATTAATTTTTTAAATTTAAATTTAAATTTTTTTATTTTTTTATATATTATTTTTAATATAAATTTTAATATTTTAAAATAATATAATTATTTTTGTTTTATAAAAATTTAAAATATATATAAATTAATAAAAATATATAATTTACTTAAATTTAATTTTTTAATTTTTAATTTAATATATACATATAATATTTGAATTGACCTAATCAAATTAAATATTATAATTTTAAATTATTATTATTTTTTTCACCCCAAAACTAGGGCTAAATGAGAGGTGAAATGAAAGGAAGGAAAGGACAAGAAGAAAGAAAGTAATGTTTGAAATAGAAATAGGAGAGGTGCAGTGCAGTTGAAATGATGAAGTAATTGTTACATCTTGTCAAAATGTCAAATCTTCTTTCTCCTTTGCATTTTCTTTCAATTTTGTTTGCCTACTGTCTCTGTCTTTTGCCTCTGCCTCTGCCTTTGCCTGTGGCTGAGATTCAATCACTGAGTCACACAAACAGGATAAGAATAGAGAGAAGACTGTTCATTTGATTGCCTCATATGGCATTGCCTCCGCACATGGCTCTGCTTACCCTCACCCGACCTAACTCAATATATTATTATTTTATTTTATACTCAGCTACAACATGACTTTGAAATTGCATCAACACCCATGGCTGCCATGCCTTGTACCCCAATGGGGTTATTTTGAGAATTTACTCACTGCGTGCATGAACTCCACTCCAAAACAAAACTCTTTCATTTCCACACCAAACTTGTATACAAGCTCAATGTACCCAACTACATGGCACAATAGTATTTGCTCTCTGCCAAACCTTACTGAGATGGTAACCACATATACTTGTTCCAACAACAACAGCCTCCATGCCCATGCCCTGCCCCAGAGAATCATAAAAAAAAAAAAAACTCCCATTACTTGCTGTTAAGGAGGTTGGCAAGGTCTCGGAGTTCCTCAAATGCATGCATTGTTTCAGAATCAAATCCTCCTGCAAACTGCACATACCATGAAAGAAATCATGAAAGGAAAGAAAAAAGAAAACCATTGATTTCATTTTATTGTTATTCTTGCTTTTTAAAAGCTTATGTAACAGAAGCTTAAAATGCAAAGCAAATGTGTAAAATGTAATAACAATGCATTTGATATCAATCAACCATATTAGCTATTCTACCATAGCACACACATCGCCTTTTTCCTTTCAGGAATAATATATATTGTAAGAGCCAAAAATAGAGTATATACACAGTATATTGCACAAGACAGGCTAAACAACTCATTTCAAGCTAGCTTCATGTGTTTTTGTCATGTGTGTGTATTGCCCTCCATCTCCTATGTTTAAGCAAACCAAACCATAGTCGATAAGAAATTACAAATTTACTTGCATAACAAACCTGATGTATTCTGAACGCAAATCTCACTCCTTGAAGAAGCATATAGTCCATTGAAGGATCCTTTTCCATAGTTGCCTTTAACTGCAGTTCAATGGCTACTCTTTTCATGTACTTCTTTGCCAATTTCACTGATCCGAGCTTAATCTGAAATGAAGTCATTGAGCCCTCTATTACAGCAAGCCAAGTAGAAAGAAGATGGAACAAGACAGAGCAATAGAATTTTTCAGAAGTAACACGAGACGGTTACATCATATTTAGGATAAATGCCAAATATGTGACTTATAGCATTGCCTCAAGCAATATTCACAAAGAATCCTATTGAAGCATTACATGAGATGATGTTTATATATAATTATTATTCCGAAATTTTCCCTCTTTCGTCAAACATAAGTACCTCAAAAATAATATTCAATATTATAAAAGCATATGAAGGCAGTCCGCTTAGTTTACAATTTCAAGAAATATATACATTCATGCATAGATAGAAGTACGCATGTGCGCTTTGCTTTTCTGCTTCTATATACTGAATAAAACTAGAGGCAGAAATAAAGCAGACAGCAAGGTCAAAGCTAGAAACCAGTTCATATGCAATTTCATTATTCTATTTGTAGTGTAGATATGGTAGTCATGCAGGAAATTGTTCTTAGCACAAGTTGGAACATCTTAATTATATGGGAAATGACAACTCCAAGTACCTTGCTTATAATACCATTGTCATGCATCCAGTCCGTGGGAATTTGGAATTCCTTGCAGTTACGCATCAATGACTCTCTTGTCCGGAGGAGGTTATAAACAGTACGCTCCATCCTGGCAATTTAAAAGAAAATTTCAAAGGTTTTCAACTTGCAGAAATTGGATCTTTTAAAAGAAAAATAACCAAAATACTCAAAAACCAGTTTTTTAGATTCTTACTTCTCAGACAAAGCAACCATTTTCTTTAAGGCAATATCACAAGGCATTCTGGAATCATCCTTGTAGTATAAAACCTCGGACTCCAATTTTTTGAGATCTTGATACCCAAATGCTGCTTCTCGCAATGTGTCAGCTTTTTTCTCTGGCCAAGCAAAGTGCTTTAATACTGCCCTTTCATCAACCTTCAAAAATATATATATATATATATTTTAGTCACAAGCATACTGCATGCATGCCAATTAATTTTAAGACATAGAGATATCTTTCCATCGTTTCATTGATGTTCATTCAGTAGATCTCTTTAAGCAAATCAGAAAGAATGATTTGGAAGGGGGATCATCTCATTCAAAACTTGTCTAACTAGCAAGTGCATATATTCTGTAAAATTAGGTTTCCTCCTGATTATTTGCATATTAGTAAAACTTTAAAGAACTTGATATTGAAAACAAATTGTAATATTACTAAATTCTTTTCTTCTCAATAATTAGCAACTTACCAGGTAGCAAAGTTCATCATCAAGCCACTTCACAAATGCCACTACATCTTCAATGTTCTGATAAACAGCATTATTGACTTCTCTTATCAATGAATTCACAAATTCTCCTTGAGTTTCAACATCTGACTTTATCTGCACAAAGTATGATGTTTAATCATGCTTAGAACCTGGACTAGCTAACAATCAGGTTTGATACTCTAAACAATTTAAATATAATTCTATATTAAGAAGATGTTTAAACAAATTTGAGTACCTAGAACGTCAACTCAAACATATGTTACTACATGAATTTCACGTTTTATTTTGGTCCCTATATTTTCCATGTAGCAGGAAAAAAATAGAAATGCAACTCGGAAGCTGAAATCATTTATGTAAAGAAAATCCAAGCTCATTTATAGAAAGGATAAAAGTTATGGTTAATACGAAAGCACTTACAGCAAGCAAATGTGATGATCTGTTCTCAATTTCATCAATCATGCTGCTACGAACATTTGCAACATCCGGCACATCACATATTCCTCCATTTGTAGAATCCCTTCTAGAATCCCTCTTCATGAGTGAATGATAAAACTCAACTACTTGTGGGGCTCGCTGCACGACTCCTGTGCTACTTCTCACTGAAAACTTTGGAGGCGGAGGTGGTGGTGGAGGTGGAGGAGGAGGTGGAGGTGGAATTTGATTAGAAGTTCCCTTTTTAGGTCCATTTGAAATTGAACAGGAAGGTCTGGGAGGAGGATTTGGAACCCGCAAAGTCCTCCTCTCAACATCTAAGGAAGCTGCAGGCTTATTAGCTTCTTGGCAATTTCCAAAGAACTGCATTCTTTGAACTGTACTATTCTTTTGAGAACTTAGTGGCTCTGCTTCCTTTTCCATTTCTTTTGTACACATAAAAACATCAGATTGTCTTCTTTTATTTGGTATCAACTCTTCCATATAACATTTCGATCCGCTTATAGAATGTCTTCTTCCAGGACTTCTCATCTCCTCTATATGCACCCGATCCTTATCCGCAAGATTAGCTGCATAATCTATGCTTGAAAAATCCTGACTAGTAATAGGCCATTTCTTTATCTTTCTAATTAAATTTAATCTCTTTACACTACTGTATTCTGAGCTCTTACTGCTTACTGAATTGGGTGAGCCAACATATTCACCCTTGCTTTGAACTGGACTTAATGTTTTATAAGAATTCATTGTTGCGCATGAATTTCGTAATTCATCTCGTAGACACGAATTAACCCACCTCAAGTATGCAAGCTCCTCAACTTCATTCAAGCGGCTCATTTGTAGACCTTCTACTTGTTTACTCAGGTTTTCATTGGTATGTCTTAAAATGGATGCCTCGGCTCTAATTTTCGCAACAACATCACTCTGATAAACCCAAGATGAAGAACAGCAAGAAAATACCAAAACCAAGTTAATGCTCCAGAAGAAAGAAAAACAATCAAAAGCACTCAAGACAAACCAAAATACTTGCAAAATTTTAGTAGTAATTGAGAAAGGTTAATGAAAATTATCTAAACAGACTGATATTAGGGGAACCAAGTGACCAGGTTGCAGTAATATAAAACTGAATAATCCTATGCTTAATTTGCCTCGAATTGTAGTGGAAATGAAGACAATGCCAAAACAAATCATCTTTTTGATATTATTTTTATATTGCAACAATTCATCATTAAAAGTTAATGAAACTACCTCATTAGCTCTGGCAAGAGAAGCCAACTGGGACTCCAAAGAAGAAACCTTGCAAGCAAGATTCCTCTTTTGCAGCTGTAACTCCTTGTTCAACCTCCTCAACTCCACAACTTCCATTTCGAGATTCCTAATTGATTGTGGTTCCTTTGAAATTTCCAAAATTTCCTCATTCCTTTCCAAAATGGAACTCAAAGTTGCCACTTGATCGGATAAGCTGGTCTTTTCAGACTCCAATAACCCAACCCTGTGTGAAAGATCATCCACCTCAATGTTCCTTGTTTCAAGCTGCCTTTCGAGGTCCAAAACTTTAGCGTTTGTTTTCCATTCTGTAAGCTCAGCTTGCAGCTTATACTCCCTTTCTTTTGATTCCTGAAGAAGGCTCCTAACATGGTCTAATTCAATGAATAAATCGCGAGAACCGGAGGACTGTCTCCGGTGAGTCTGAGGGACTTGAGGGTGAACCTGGCTTGCATTAACAGAGCAAGACAAATCAGTTATGAGCGACCTTTTAACTCTAGAATGAGAAGGCAGAGATGGGTTCTTTTGGTTTGCGTATGGCACATCGGAATTTGATAAAGGGAGTTTCTTGGTTTGGACTGTGATAGTTTGAACCTTAGTTTTCTTGTCAGCTGTGAAGCCCTTCACAATGTGTGAACCCCATGACGACTTTGGCTTGGATTGATTGGTAATGGTTTTTGCGTATAGAGATTTTGGTGCTTGATTTTGATCAGCGAATTTTGATGCTTTGGCTCTGTTTTCTGAAGGGTTTTCTTCTCTCATTGCGAAGATCGAAGAAAGGACAGAAAGATGTTTCAATCGTCAAAGTAAGAGTTACAGTTGAAACAACTCAAAACACATTTGGCTTTTTCTCAGACAAAACCCCAAAGAAAAAAATGTAACCTTTCAATTTCATGTGCTAAAACTTTTCAAGTATCAGCTCAAAACAGGCTCAATTGAATCAATTGGTAAGCAGGCAGCTAAAAAAGGAAAAAAAGAAGCTGAAAGTTGAAAGATTTTAACACAAAAATGTTTTATGGAGAGAAGAAAAGGGAAGTGAGGATTTGAAATTTGAAGAGTAGGGGGAGCTGGGAATGGGATTCTTGTTGATTAAAATAGAAAGAGATTGTAGGATGAAAGGAGAGCTCCGATTTCAAGAGAGAAAAGTGGCAGCTTTGTTTCTTTTTCTGTTATTTGGATTTTAAACTTTTGAAATTTGAATTGGCACTACATTACACGAGTTTATGTGCATGAAGGGCGGAGTGCAACGGTCCATTTTTAGTGGCGTGGGTGTGAGTTGTGGCCCACATCAGTTTGTATGGGAATGAGCTCAGCTTATATCACATGCATGGAATTAAACGGCAGCCAAAGGAGGCCTAGAAGCTCGGTTTATCATAATTTTTTTTATTTCGATATTTAAATTTAATGATGTTGAGATTTGAATTTTAAATTTATTTTTTAAAATAATTATATAAATTAATATTCCATTTATCATAGGATAAATCAAAGATAACTTGTGGTGTGTATAATTATGGGCTCTCAATTGGGTAAGGCCTCTAGAGCCTTCAATCGTACCAGGGGGTAGTTGAAGGTTCAACCAGCCCACCGTACTACATCTTCTCTCCTAACTTATTTTTCTTTATTCCAACTTTGCCCTTGATAGTGTCAAATTTTACAAAAATAGCTGACTGTTGCTAACATTGTAACCTTCTAGCTAAGTGACAGAGATTGTCGACCTTTGATCTTGATAACAAATCACTGTTAGAATACATGTTTGGGGCATAGAAGTGTCAATTGGGCCGAGCAGCAGTCGTTGCTCAATTTTGTTTCACTAATTAATGCATCATAATTAATATTTATTTTATTATTATATTTTGAGAATATTTGGAACACATATAAAGTTAGTAAAACAAAAGAAAAGTGATTAGTTTATTGATACTACCACTAAATACCCTAAAAGAGAGACGCTTAAAAGAATTGAAAAATGAAATTAAGATGAATGAATATAACAAATGAGCTATTAATCAAAGATTAGGATAAGTAGCCATCCCCTAATTTTTTATAAAAAAAATAATATTCAATAAGTTATTGATTCAATTAGTTAAAGTTTATTTTTATCAACAAAAAGATTTTTAGTTCGAATCTTATCGGTGATTATTTATTGGGATTATCTTAAATATGAATGCATGATTTGTAATCATCTGTCTTACACTATCAAATACAACATATTTTACTTTAACTTGAGAGATTGAATAATTTATCTACCTTTAAATTTTTTCTTACAAATATATATGTATAGAAATAAACAATGAAAATCATGTTAAAACAGTAAGGCTATGTATATTAATTAATTAATTAATTGGTTGTTTTGATTTGTTTCTACTCACATTTGTTTCATAAAATTAAATTTGATAATTTAAAATATAATTAATAATTTAAATTTAACATATAAAAATATAAAAATATATATAATTTAAAATTTTAATAATAATTATATATATAATTAATTTAAAATTAAAAAATATTTTATATTTTTATATAAATATAAATTAAAATCCATAATTTTTATTTAAAAATAAATATATAAATTTTAATATCTTATATAATATAAATACACAAATAATTAAATTTACGTAAAATATAATACATAAAAGGTACGATTGTGTCGGTGTGAGAGGCATGTATGTACGGAAGAGACTTCATTAATTTGATAATGACATTAGCTCCACCAGTTTTCTGTTTGACTCTTTCTCAACTTACTTAATTAGCTTATATTATGGGTGGCTTCAAATCCCTCTTTTTTTAATATTAAAAAAACAAATTCCTCTTTTGCATAAATTTTTGCTTTCAACCGAGTTTGAATTTTTTTTTCTTTCACTATAAATAATTATAAATATCTTAACTCTCTAAAAATATTGGACGATAACAATAAAATTGGGTTATTAAATGGTAGGATGTCATTTCATCCAATCGCCATATGTAGCTAATTAGACACAGCATTATTATTATTATTATTTTTATTTTGTGAATCACACTACTACTCGTATGGTATAAAATATATATTAATTAGTTGAAAAGAATAATAAAATAAGAAAGAAAAGCTAACTTATCTCAAATAATATTGCTAAAAATAATGAATTTTAATTTATAAATTATAAAAATTAAACTAAATTACATCATATATATGTCTGGGAATATTAATTCAAGTTTTAAAAAATTAGTTTAAAATTTTTTCAAAATTGATTGGATATAAATACTATTTAATAGACTAAGGCAAGAAATCTAAGTATGAAGAGATTTCTTTACGAGCAAAACTTATAAATAGTGAGAGTAAAGTATGAAACAAATATAACAAGAGATATATGAATTTACGAGGTAGATATCTCATATATAAAATTATAGGAGAAGATTTATATGAGTGTTTATATTTGAAGACTAAAAAAATTGAGAGGATTTATATGGGTGTGCATATTTAAAGAGGATCTATTGGTACGTGTGAATGTTTAAATTGGATTGAGATTGATTGTGAGCTAGTATTGATTATTTGTTAACAATTATCTATAATTAATGAATTTTTTTTCTTATTCACAGATGTAGACAACTAATATGTTAAATTATGTTAAATTTTTATTTTTTATGTGAATGATTTATAATTTAATTATGTTTTCACTTATGTAAATGCTAAATTAATTAGAAACTTGCTGCCTAACAACTATATATATATGTATAGATAAAAGGTATTGATGGATGGCATGACTTAATGCCAATAAGTTAATTAAGAAAGCTATAGGTATGTAGAAAAAATGTAGGTTAGAAGTTTTCAATGTTTGTGTCAATTATTGTGATTTTAGTAAAGTTTTTATAAAAAATATTGTAATTTGAAATAGGAAAATGAATTACTTATTGTGATATTTAAATTTTAAATTTGTTGGATGCCAGCTTTAAGAGAAACGTCGTGAATCAATTAATTTAAACTTTGACTTTATGATTTTAGCACTTAAGCAAATAGTGGTATGTTTAATATTAGTTATTGAAAAATTATCAAATACACTAATAATGAAGTTTTTAGATTCCACAAATAAGGTTAATATATAAGGTAACACGTATCCCTTATGTTATATTAAAAAAATCAATGAAAAAAGTGGATAATATGTCAATTTCTTAACTTCACTTATAAAATAAAATAAAAATTCACTAACAATATATCAAATAATTTCTCTACTTAATTATTAGCTATTATAAATTGGAGAAACCACTTTATTTTGTATTGAAATTCTTTTTTTTTTAGTTTTTTTTTTCATTCTAAAATTGAAAGACAAAAAAGTTCACTGATTCTACTAGAAAATGTTCCTACGATAAGTAGTGTCCATTTAATCAATCAATTGTATTGACTCTAAAGTCTAAAGGTAGTTTGGTAATGTACAAAACTATGAATTAGCGGTAATTTTTATAGGGTGTTTGGTTTATAAAATCTTGAATTTCGAGTGAAAGTGTGATACTTGAGAAAGTGTGATTTTCAAGACATTCCATTTTCAGATTCTTGTGTTTGGTTAGGGGAAATATGCATTTGTTAAATTATGTATTTTTAGCATAATATCCTTGACAACTTTGGAAAAAAACCTTTCATTTCGTGTTACAAAAATTAAACACGACCTTGATGCAGGGATTTTATATATTTTTATAAAAGATTGGCAAACTCAATTACGTCATTTATATAGAAAAATCTAGTAATTGACTTGAAATTTTTAAAGGCGGGTAAACTTAATTACAACTATTATATACAAAAATACAACAATTGAGTTGAAAATTTAAAAGATAAGCAAACTCAATTACGGCGTTTATATACAATAAATGCCATAATTGACCTAAATTTAACAATTATACAATATACTTAATACAGCATTTAATGAAAAGAAACTTCGTAATTGAGTGTTTAAAAATTTCAAATAAACTCAATTACGGCGTTTCTTTGACTTAAATACCGCAATTGAGTCTTTTTTGAATGTTTAAACCCTTTTCATTTCTCTATTCTATTTATTTAACTCTTAACCCTCAAACAATATATGAACCGCTTGTTTAAGACAACCACCATTCACATCGTGTTACCTCATTGTCTTCTTTGCCATTGCCATTGTTATGATTCTGTATATTTGGTAAGTGTTTTTTTTTTTTCCGTAGTTTTATGCGTTTGTATATAAACATTTGTTGGAAGCTTGAGAACATATTGGTGGTTTCATGTGTATGTATATAAATATTTATTCGTGATTTCATGTGTAAGTATATAAACAATTTTTGTCTATTTTATTCATTGTTTCATGGTTTGAAGCTTTTATGCATTTGCTAATTATATGTGGTTGGATGCTTGAGAAGATGGTGGTTTCATGCATTTATATATAAACATTTATTCGTGGTTTCATACATTTGTATATAAACAATTTTTTTTGTTTTATTTGTGGTTTCATGGTTGGAAGCTTTTATGCTTTTGTTGATTTTATGTGGTTAGATGGTTCATAATATGTTTATGGTTTCATGCATTTGTATGTAAATAATTTTTATTTTATTTTATTCATGGTTTCATGGATGGAAGCTTTAATACATTTGTTGATTATATGTGGTTGAAAATTCGCAGAATAGTATGGCTTCAGAAAAACATATGTCTCCATCTATCGAAAATGAAAAAAAAGTCTCAATTGACACATCTGCCTTGAAAAAAAAATAAAAGGATGTGGTAAATTGCTTATTGCTACTGGACAAAAATTCATGTTGAGTTCAAATGATATGGGTAACTTGTGTTACGTGAAGGTGCAAAGTTGGCTAACCACATTGGAGTTGTTGTTCGGCAAACTCTATTAACTACTTTAGTTGGATAAAGGTTCTAGATTATCAAAAGAAAATTATATGTGATTCGGTTATGGTAAGTGTTTTCAATGAAATCCAAACTAAATCATTATTTATAGAATACAAAAACAATGTGTTAGTTAATTTAATTTTTTTTTACAAGAACTATTTGACATCTCATCCGAGTATAAGAAGATTATGTTGTAATTTATTAGGTTTAAATTTCAAGACTTTAAGAGCATATTGATAATCAAATATATTTTGTTGTTTGTTAACAATCTTGAAATGTTGTGTCATCTTCTAATGGCATATTCAAATGTTATCAATGAAGTATAGTGGTCATAGTTTGTATGAGATCGTCTTTCAGCTGAATTCAAAGTATGCATACCTAAATCAAATTTTTTTAATATATTATGTAATCCTATTTGTTTGTTAATATGTTTTTTATTTTGTTTTTTTTTTTTTTGCAAAAATTAAAGAACA